AGTGGCAACTCACAAAACTCGGCAGCCACATAAATGATAGGTAGTTGTGAAGGCTCACCTGTAATTTAAGTCTGGCGCAAGCTGGCCAGTGAAGCCAGCCAAATCAGAGAGCTCTGAGCTTGACTAAGAATCCTTTCCTCAAAGAATAAGGTAGAAGAGCCATCAGTGAAAGAAGATTGCCCACATTTACCTTGGGCTTCTACTGCATGTGCACCTTCACAGATTAAAACATCTACATACATACATATTCATTAGCAAAGAAAAAGAAAAAAATATCCAGGCCAAAAAAAGACAACAAAACCAAGAAGAAAACTAGATACTACTATTAGCTACAGTGCTTACTCTGTTTAATATGCTCTTTAGTTGAGCAGCATGAAGGAAAATCCACAGCACACAGATAAGTTGGAAAAGGGAGGCCTATTTCAATAGTCTTTTGAGGTAAGTGGAAAACATCTGCAGTACTACACCCAAACTGTGTATCTAGTTTATTAAGGTTATTTGCTATACAGAATCTGAGGACTCATCAGTAAACTCCATATTCTGTTTCCTGAAAGTATAGAACACTTATACACATGCACCAAAAATACTACACACACACACACACACACACACACACACACACACACACACACACACACACACACATACACACACACCACTGAATCACAAAAACTGTTCTGTATAGTTTTACAATAGAAGTACCATTCATACATTATTTTCAATACTGTTAAAAGTTTTGCAGTTACTAAAGTCATCTGACAGATGACAGTTTTCAATGTAATGTATACTAACAAGGAGCAAGAGCAAAAACCCTAGGTGGTTTTAGTGTGAGTCTTTGTACACGTTAGTAACAAGCCCCTAGAAGAAGCCAAGAAGTAGAGGCAGGGGCAGGGAGCACCCACTGGCGATCAAAATGCCTATCCTGTGTACAATAAACCTAAAGAGAAAACATGTGCTCCAAAGAAGAAATTTTATCCCAATACATAAAGAAACACCAAAGTGAAAGCCTACGTGATTTCTCATATCAGTATCACCACGGTTGTCAGTTTGCATTGAAGCAATCCCTAAGTTCAATATATAGTTTTATGAAATCTGAGAAGTCACTCATAAAGTCGAAAGAAAAAGAAAAAACAAGAATATCTTGGCAAGGAAAATTAATAAAGAAATTTGTTCCAGTGAATAGTAAATCATATCACCAACTTATGGTTTAGTAAGAGAACACAAAATATAATGTAATTAGACCTCAGAAATTTGAACAACTGGTGATCTCACTGGTTAAACAGGTCACTACTTGAAACACAAAATCTCAGTTTTAAAGTAAAACATAAAACCATTAGAGATTTATAAGAGTAAAAAAAATAATGGCCATAAGAGACAGAATGGAAACAGTTTCAGACTAAAACTACCTCCCCAAAACACAAGAAATGGAATTGATTGCTTAAAAATTTTAGTACCCTACATGACACCATGAAGTTAAAAATTAGGAAATGATGTAAGACAAAGGACTACATTTACATCAGAATTCCTAAATAAAGAACAATCAAAGCTCAAAACACAACTAAAAAATTGGGGGAAATGATACAAACAGGCAGCTCAGTAACTGGTAAGCAGGGCCCACTTCAGCCAAGAATCCATGGATTGCTTAGTTATAACATCCACAGAACACCTCATACTACAGGATGGAGAAAGAAACAGGTATTGTATACCATCTGTAAGAATATATGTTGATACTGTGGCTAATACTATGACACCTTCTGTAAAAAATATACAGATTCTACTTCTTGGCATAAATCACATAATAAATACACAAGCACAACAAAATGCATCAAATATTTCCACTACAATTCTGCAACAAAAATAAAGATCTCATTGGATGAATTTTATGTATCAATGAAATGGAATATTTTGACAGTCTTCCAGAGTAGGACAGAGATACATAAACAGAAATTAGACTTGAATGCCATTAAAACGCACCTAGTTGGCAGGGGTATGTCAACTGTTAACAATACAAAGAGTGCAATCTAAAGTAATTGACACTGTTTGTGAATACTCATTTAATAACCCAGAGCATCTTGATAAAGGTAACTGTACTGCCCATTCTGAAAAATACATTATCAGGGAAGACATAGTAAATAAGACAAAAAATTTTCAAACAAGCCCTACCTATATTTTAAAAATAACCATTCACAGATAAAATAGGAACATGTATGAAGTAAAGTCATGGAGAGAAGTGTGGTGAGAAGTTTAAATCTTCAATAGCAGTGTTGTCTAGGGAAAGGGACTGGGTTCTTTGAGGATAGTGGAATGAAAAAAAGATTTGCACAGTTGATCTTCTAAATTTCTGTAAGATTGTATTTCATATTTTATACGATGAGTATACTTATATATGAAAAATACAAGGAAAATAAACCATCATAAAATGGTAAGATACAGTTTAGTGTTGCAACCTTGTATGTTTCATAAATAAAGATCACTTTGGCAGGTGTTCATCTATGAAAAGGACACACTGGTGGATTTAAGAGCCCTCTGCCTTCAGATAAAACATCGCTTCTGATTTCCTGAAAATGGATACTGCCACTCTGGACAGCTTTTCTGTAGAAAAACAGCTCTCACTCTAGAAAAGTGTCTCTTCACAATAGCAGGCTTCAATCTACTGAATACCTTGTATCGGGGGTGGGATTAATGCAGACAATACCACCAAAGGAATTGCTCATCACTGTGAACTAGCACATATGCGGGAAATCACCTCTTTCTATAGTTTCTCAAGGAAAACCACCAATAAAAAAGGCCAACACAAACTGAAACTCTCAGAGAAAGAGTCACACTCATTATAAAGATTCAACAACACTGACTGATGGATCAGAATTTGATTGTTGGAACGCTGCAGATCGAAAGCCAACTTATCACAGGCTATCTTTAGTCCCCTTAACAGACATTCACTACCACTTCTATATTAGACCTAACATTCCTGCATTCTTGTGTTCATCTGGTCAAAGTTCTTACAATGCATTAACATAACAAACAGGTCACCAGCTTCCACCAACTCAATAGGTATGAACACCATCACATAGCATGTGGCAGCTACATTAGGGATGTCTGGTATAGCCTGCCTACTTTATGTTTCCACCAATGTATTTGAAAATGTACCTCAATTTAAGACTTTCTTTTGTTCTACACCTTGTGTCTACAATAGAGCATGTCATTTGAGGCTACCCTGTTCCCGGGCTGTGGAAATTGGCTTGAGAATAAACTGTCTCTTATCACCTTTGAGGTGAGAGTGGTGTTTAATCTTGACAACAGGCTCTTCCTTAAAGCCTGGCTGACCTGGGAACATGAGACCTGTGTCATCAGGCCTGGTTGTTAGAGCTAAGTAATGATTTCAAGTAGAAATTAATGAATTTAAAGTCGATAAGTTATCTTTTGAGGCACAGACTCCTTAGTAACCAAGAAACAGTTATATGCTTTGCATTTTGATATAAGATAAACTCAAAACAAATATCCATATAATTACTGTATGATAGTATAAAGGGAGAGTCATAATAAATTATCTTACTAAAGCTTTAACTCTATTTCTAAATGCATTTTTTTAAAGAATGAAAAATATGATCAATTTCATGTCCAACTCAAGTTCTGATTCTCCTATTTTTTTGTTGTTTGTTTGTTTGTTTTTTTCAAGACAGGGTTTCTTTGTGTAGTTTCAGTGCCTGTCCTGGATCTCGCTCTGTAGACCAGGCTGGCCTCAAACTCAAAGAGATCTGCCTGGCTCTGCCTCCAGAGTGCTGGGATTAAACGTGTGTGCCACCATCGCCTGGCCTATAGAATTGGTTTTATATTTAGAAGAAAACATTGGTGAGTAATGCTTTTCACTTCTTGATTTGAATGAGAAAAAAAATCATAAACTAACTGGTTGCTTACTTCTTAAGGGCCAACAATGCTCATCTGTTTACAAGGTACTTTCCCATCAAGTTTCCTTTGACAAAAGGTCTTGACTACTTTTCAATGTCATTCTTCATTTCTGCCCAGAATTACTCCTGTTACTAAACTTACTACAATCAAATTGCTCTAATTATTATCTGAGTAATTTATTTTGTATCTCCCAAGCTGAGCCATCCTGGAAGGCCTCTGCTTCACTGTCAGCTCGAGTCATGCAAGATATAACACCTTCCTTTTGTTTTTATGCAGTGTCTTATAATATATGTGTAACAGTTATAATTTCTTAACTAAAACCCAATGCATATGATTTGAACCAAATAACTTTTTCTAAGTTAAGCTTCTATACACATCTTGAAAATATAAAGAATAAATTACATACAAACTAATTTTCCTAACCACACTTCAATTATATTCAATTAAGCTTGTTCTAAAAAAAAACTAGTAATAATAATATCCTAAACAAAATTCTCAGAACCAAGTCTGGACACCACATACTGAAAAGAAACAAGAGTAAAATGCGGTGCTCAGAGAAGAGCAGATGTCCACAACAATCTCCCAAAGAAACTCAAGGCCTCTACTTTCTGTTCACATAAAAATGCCTATGTTTAGAATCAATCCGGAGGTCAATACAACTGCATTCACAACCAGTCTCTAAGCGCAGCTTCTAGTCAAAGGCCAGTACAGTACTGACTTCCCTTCTCACACTAGCCATCACTTTTCCTACTAACTCGTATACAAAGTCGGACTGATCACTCACATATTTCAGAAGAATACTTGAACATGTTAAGAATTATGTGTCATTACAAAATAGATAATGACAACATTTTAAAAAATTAAAACAAATGGAATAGATTTTTTTAAAATGTTTATTCACTTCAATTTTTGCAATGGGGTTTCCTGTAGCCCAGGCTGGCCTCGAACTCACTGTGTAGCCAAGGATGACTTTAAACTTCTGGTCCTCCTGCTCCAGCCTCTCCAGTGCAGGGGTTGCAGATGTGCACCACAACAGCTGGGCAGACTTTTAGGAGATAGTTCGGGTGATGTTAGGTGTCTTCACGAACACTTACCTGACACAGAAGGCCTTTCTGAGGCAGAGGAGGAACTCGTTCTTCATACACAGGGGGTGGCTTCTGTGTAGGTGGAAGGTCGATTCTGTGTTCAAAACAGTAAACACAGTGTGTGGGGTTCCAGGAGGAAAAACAAAGAAAACAAGGTTCTCACAAATCTGAAAGATAGTTTCTTCATACTATAATAATGCATAATTATTCTACTCTACATGTTTAATTAAGTTATATTCTGTTAATCCGTCAGGAAATAAAAAGTCATCACTATTTCTAATACTTAACACCAAACTAACTTACTCACATTAAAGAAGCAATTCAAATAGAAACACTGAAAATTATTATTAAACAAGTATCTTGTACATGATCCTTCTTCTCAAGTTTGGTATATTCTCACCTTTGATTATGCTGACAAACATTTTAAAGACAGTATTTTTAAAAGATTTGATTTATGTATATGTGCATATTTCTGTCACATGTATGTGGATGCCCAGAGACCAGAAGAGAGGTCAGATCCATTCAGCCAAAGGTATAGGTGGTTGTGAACTTCCAGATGTGGGTGCTTGGAACCAAACTCGGAGCCTCTGCTGGAGCAGCAAGCACTCTTAACTCACTAAGCCAATCTCTCCAGCCCCCAATGTGTATATTATTATGTTTCTCCAAATGGTCATAGGAGTGACTCAGAAGATTGACAAAAGCTCACATTATAGTTTGGAACAGCTTTCCAAGATGTATTTTCAAAAGGGCTGCCTTGGGGCTAGAGAGACTGCTCAGCAGTTTAGAGTGCTTGTTCTCCCAGAGGTCCCAGGTTAAGTTTCCAGGACCCACATGGTGCTCACAATCATCTGAAACTCCAGTTCCAGGAAACTTGATACCTTGTCTGACCTCTATGGACATCAGGGATGCACATGGTACAGAGACATACATGCAAACAAAACAAGCATGCACATAAATCAAAAATCAATAAATCTTTTAAAAGGAGTTTATTCATTTTTAGAACATTTATCTCATAAATTAAGATTTTTTCAGCTACAATTCATTATAAATCATGCCATCTGAAGGATCCAAGATTTCCTTAAAGAATGTATTTTTGATGACCTCATCCTTAAAATTTCCTAATATTCACACATATTTTATATGTCAGATATTTAAAAACACATTTATGAGTCTATAGTTGTATTATAGAAACTAATCTCTCATATATACACATATATAGTTTTCAATGATTTAAAGACTAAAGATGTATTTTCAGTACTTTTGATTAGCAAATGAAATAAAAAGTTATCTATATTAAAAGATAAAATAAATGACATCTTTAGATGCTAAAATAATAAATGTGCCATGATCTACTCATTTCTCAATATGGGCATAAAGTGGTATTTTCTTCTGAAAATAATTCAATAAGTACATAAAAAGTTTATTACAAAAGAACTCCCATCTTACAATTATCAAATTAAAGCAGCATTTGTCCATCTTTTATTCACAAGCAGTAACTTTTCTCTAATGAAAATAGAAACAAATTTATAGCTCCAATTAAGGAAGAAAGCCAAAGCTGACGGGAGCAGTGAGCTGCGCATGGTGACAGCGGTGACGACATTATGATAGGGTCCAGAGAGACCAGTCAGTGACTGTGTCAGTGGAAGGAGTGGAGCCCTACCCCAAAGCACTCCAAAGAAACATAAGAATGTATCATTTGAATACCAGCCTCATGCTCTCAGGCGACAGGAAGCTCCGCTACTCAGTCCTCAAAATCCAATCATCTTATTCTGTTCCCAACACAACCATGTGAAATATGGAAAGTATCATACAGGTACAATATTTCTCTTATAATTCAATCTCGGTGATTAGGAAAAAATTATTGCTTAAATGAAAAGATGTTTATTTTATAATTAAATGAAACAAAGCATTTATTTTCTTAAGAAAAAAGCTTTAAAATGAGAGTCTTAAAATATAATTCGTGGTGTGTGTGTTAGACATTTATTACTTGTATATATTGTATATAGTCATTGTACTTTTGTATATAGTTTTTCTTTTGTTAGTTATAACCTTTTTCTTTTTTTTCCTTTTTATTAAAATAGAAAAGGGGAAATGTGGTGGTATTTTACTTATACTGAAATGTGATTTTAATTGTATGTTAATAAATAAAGTTGTCTGGGGGTCAGAGCTAAAAAAAAAAAAAAAAAAACAGGTCCCTCTAATAAAAAAAAAAAAAAAAACTGAAAAAAAAAAAAAAAAAAAGCTGTTTGCAATTGATAGCTACTGAAAGAAGAGGAAAATCAGTTTTCTTTAATTGGAGTGACAGTGTGACCACACTCCAGGGCAGGAGTAGTAGCAAGTCAACATAATTTGGACTTTGATGTTGTTTTTGTTTAATTTTTATCATTTGAACAAAGAGAACATGGAGTTGGGAGCATAAAGAATTGGGGAAAATTTTGAGTGAATTTGGGGGATAGAAAAGAATAGATTCAAAATGTGTTGTGTGAAATTAATAAAAGAATAAATGAAAAAAAAAATATAATTCGTGGTAGTTTAGTTGTATCTCTATATATAAGACAGACATATAATCAATTAAGCCTAAGAAGTCTCTAATACTGAAACCAGTACTTAGTAAAGGCCTGAATTCTATTCAGGTTGGACAACATAAGCTATCAATATGATGCATTTGGAAAGATTTCTAATGCCTGTGGATGAGGAGCTGCCTAACATCTTTGCTTTCAGCAACCCTGCGAAGATTCTCATTTACTAGGATGCAGTTTAAGATGTTCTGATGAAATCCCAGTTAACTAACAAAGGTCCAACACTATCCTTATTTCCATCTGTTGAACACTGAATATAAGTAACATAAAGGTGGACACTAAGGCTAATGGAAAAAGGTTGTTCACAGCTGAACACAAGCAAAACCGTTACCCACACTTTGTCAAGATATGATGGTCTCTTCTTCCGCGGTGTTAGCAGCACAGTCACAAAGACAGCAATGATGAAGAGCGCCAGGACAGCTCCAATCACAGCTCCAGCCACTGCTATGGATGAGGTCTGCTTAAGTGGGATGTCTGTTAAGTAATAAAAAATCAGACTTTTCAAACAACTTGAAAGAGTTCTTAGAGTTGCATGCTTTAACTTCTACAGTGCTCAATGGCTATTTGAAGTGTTTACCCAACAATTAGTTTAGAGGACCTCAAATTTAATCCATCCAATTTTAGAAGAATTATGTTAATACAATTCTATTTTCCTTAAGACTACCAACTTTGCTTTACTCAAATTTTGGAAAGAATATCTCTAATCAGTCATTATTGAATAAATCTATTTTCTACAGTCAAATAATGTCTAAAGAGAAGATAAATAAAAAGACAAAGATAATTTTAAGTTCTCATTCAAACAGGTGATAAAAATTAGTTGACTAGTAATACATACACTTACCATTTTACTCTATTAAAATGAAAGATAAACACTATTAAATAATGTAATAATAATCAAGGACTAAAAAACAACAAAAAAACCAAAAACGCATAATACAGATATAGTATAAAAAGTTATAGAGTATACTTTAAAAACTTTTAAAAATGTTTTAAAATAGAATATTTAAAAAACAGACATGTCAACAATAGCGGTTCTTTTCTACATAGCTAAAGGCTACATTTCAATACACACTTATACATCATGATACAAGTTCTGAATACTAATTCATTTCTCAGACTAAAGGACACATTTTGTTAAGGAGCTAATATAGCGGCATTCTCACACAGATTTTAAAAGACACTATCATTCATAAACACAAAAACTGGAACCATTGCAATTCAAATGGATTAAGTAATTATCATTACTAAATGTTTTAATTCTAGCCATATGAAATCCAGCAGCCCAATTTTGTGAAGTAACTTGTTTGCTCATGCCTTTTTTTTTTTTTTTTTTTTTTTTTTTTTTTTTTTTTTTTTTGAGACAAGGTGCCATGTATCCCCGGCTATTCTGGCATTTGCTGTATAGCAAAGGGTCACTATGAACTCATGATTCTAACTGTGGGGCCTTGTAAGTGGGGGTTATAGGCATTTGCCACAATGCCCAGTTTAAGAGCTACTGGGGAACCAAGCCAGTTTTGTGTATGTATACTCCACTGAACAAACTACACCCTCACCCCCTGAACGTGATTTTTTTTTACTCTTCTAACCAATAAGGCAGACAGTGAGAAATGCCACAGCTAACACAGCCTTGCCCTTTTGCTCCCTATGGGAAACCAAAAGCTGTTTTCATTAAAATGGTTTAGTCACATGTCTTAAATCCTTGTAATTAGTTTTCAGACCAGACATGGCTACCTGAAATGAAATTGAAGCACTACAGAATATTTAAAATATTTTTTACCTATCAAAGTATTTTTATTAAAATGTGGCTTGTGGCTGGGCATGGTGGCATGTATTTTTAATTGTAGCACTAGGGAGGCAGAGGCAGACGTATGTCTACGAGTTCAAGACAAGTCTTGTGCTCATGGGGTTTTACATGGCTGAAAGGTTTTTACCTTCTAAAGTTTTCTTTAGCAAACTAACAAGACAGTTTATTAGTGGGTCATTTCATTAGCTTCATTTTAAACTCCAACTCTTACCCTTCAGTGCAAGTCATCCATTTGAATAAACTGTCAATCAATGAATACAATCTAGACAGAGTGGGCATAGCATGCAATTATGCTCAAACTACAACTTTCAATTTTCACACAACTGAGATTATCAGCTTCGGTTTATCAGTCTACTTATCAGCTCCCTCATCTGTCAGTGCAGTCAAGAGGATTTAGTGCTTGTAAACCTGAGATTTGGAATCATTCAACCTAATCACTCACTTCTTCAGAATATATATTCTATTTTCCACCAAACTACAAGGTAGATGAGTCCACTCTGTCTTTAATGATTGGCCAACTGAAATCCATTTTAAGGACTTGACTAACCAAGGTCAACCATCTAAAGGCAGTGGCAGAAATAAAAGTCCCAATTATCAAATTTGCTATTTATTACACACTAGCTCTTTTAAATGCCTTTAATTGAATCTCTCATCTGATGAGGGTAAAATGTCCCTACCATTTTGCCCAAGTACACAGAATTTAAATTTCTGTGTTTTAATTTATAATGATGTTCACAGGATAGAACAGTAGTACTTCCAAACTGTTTTTCAAAAGCTCAGGTTACTCTTGAGTGTGAGTGCAAAGTAAAATTTTCTTTTTTTTTTTTTTTTTTTTTGGTTTTTCGAGACAGGGTTTCTCTGTGTAGCTTTGCGCCTTTCCTGGAACTCACTTGGTAGTCCAGGCTGGCCTCGAACTCACAGAGATCCGCCTGGCTCTGCCTCCCGAGTGCTGGGATTAAAGGCGTGCGCCACCACCGCCCGGCTGCAAAGTAAAATTTTCAACCCACAGATCATCACAATAGGTTCACTTCACATAGGTAAGTTGATGCTAAATGCATATGTATGTTTCACATTTCCTGTCCTGATTCTTCTACTAATTAAAGAAAAGGACACAGGATATTTTAAGGATAGTCCAAGGCATTAAAGATATAAATTATTGAGTGTCAGAATGAAATACAAAGGAAGATGTAAAATCTTTTGCATTTAAGTATTTTGATGGAAATTTGAGAATTTGGTCCAACAATAATACCGTAGTCTCAGATAAACACACTGACACTACATCAACTCTCCATACCGCACAAGTGCAGAAGTGAAACTTGGCATTTTTAAACCTAAGCCAGTGACTTAAGAAACATGCCATGTTCTACAAGGTTTAAAGTGAGAGAAAATAAGTGTTAACATTTTACCATGAAAAGGTGGTATATGAATCTCTAAGAACAACAGATTGCTGCTACTGCAGTTACATTACTTCACATTCACTGGAAACTCACCCTCCCACACAAAAAAGAAAAATGACAATCTTCCATACATCAAAAATGTATCACCTGTAATTAATTACAGATACCAAGTGTATAACTTCTAAGAAAAATGTTCAAAAACCAGTTAGCAACCAACCAACCAATACATACTAAACTTTCTGAATAACATGCACATAGTAAATATTATAGCTATCAAATACAAGTAGTTTAGTTTGTATTATCAATCTTATATTTACTCTCATACTATACAGAACTGTTATTACCATTTTCCCATAAATAACCCTTTAGTTTTCAGTGTGAGGATCCACACCTCGCACATGACAAGCATGTGACCTACTTTTGAGGTACACTGTCAGCCTTCCAGTGTTCATTTTCAATAGCTTTTATGTTTTCAACACGACAGTTAAGCTTTTATCTATGCAAAGTTTATCTCACCATTTTTTCTCTAAGTACCATTTTTAGCTCAGGTCATATTCAGCTGTTCATTCAATAATTATCAGGCATCTAAGTGCCAAGCACTTAGATCTAGGAACACAAGGGTGAATCAGACATAATACTGGTCCTCACAAAAGAGAAACAGTCCCAAGATGAGGTTACAAATTCATAAAATATGCAGTCTAATCAAGTATAGAAACAGAACTAATATTTAAAAGACATTTAATGATTCATTGGTAGAGCTTGTCTAGAATGAGGAGTTATACTCCATTATTAACAATTACCTCCTCCAAGGAAAAGCAAAAACAAGCAACAGTAGTTAAAAACAAAAGCAAATGGCAGCGAGCATGAACTATATGAATTGGCACTGCCAGCCTTAGATGATCCGAGTGTCAGCTGCTCACTCGCCACTTGGGGCTGCACATAGGAGGAAGAAGTGTAACAGTTCCACAACCAATGTGAACTGAGGAACTTCTCCAAGGCCTTCGCTTATGTGCCTTCTCAGTATAATCAACACGTAAGACACACGGGAGTTCAGCCGGCTGACTCAGTATTCATCTTTAACACTAATGTATCCCATGTGTCAGGTGAGCACCTAACCAAATGAGATTACCAAAGCTCATCTGTGATATACACTAGGGAAGCATTATGCCCAGTATATGCTATCCTGCAAAAGCTGTGGCAAAATGAAGGTATCACATAACTCAGAGAAAAGCAGTGCCAACATCTTACTCAATACATAAACGTCCCCCACTAGTAATAGTATGAAAGTAAAACCATGACAACCTAAGTGAGCTGGGATAAATCCGCTAAAATAATTCAGGTGTACCAAGAGACCAATTAAAATACTTAGGTTTGCTTTGTACCAATTATACTCACAATAAACCTACAGAGGGTCGAAAGCACAAAGTATCTGAATTTACTGCAACTGGCAAGACACTGAAAAATAAACACCTTGCACATAAAGATAAGCTCTCAAATGTAGTAATTGTGACAAAAATCTTTCAAGTTCTCAACAATGCTCTTCCATTCCATGTGAATCAAGTTGTCTTTGAGAGCACCACATTAAGCCAAGTATCAAAAGATATGTACCATAGAATGAATAAGGTCTTTTTAAATTATTGAATCAAAAAGTCTAAAAACCAAGATTTTTAAAATGAAGCACATTTAATTATTTTTAAATATCAGTTTGTGAGAAAAGAGGTTAACTTTAAAAATGAAGCATATTATGCATCCCAAATAGTGACAATGACACGAGCATTGAAAAGTATTATTTTATCAGAGTTAAAATGTCCATTTCGAACTACTTTAAAATACATACAACTGAGTTGCTCTAGTAGCACAAATATACTTGGAATACACACTCATTTTTTTAGCTCATGTTACAATCAAGAGTTTTCACTGATCTACAAAAGACAGCCAAAAATAATAAAATGTAAACATACAAGATGACAGAAAGGACCATGGTTGGCATTTGTTAATTCTGTTGAAGCATCATAAATCTATCATTTGAGATACACTTATGGACTGGCCTCGCAATGTGGAAAGGGGAAAAGGAAGTTTTCAATCAAGGGGAAGCATGGACAGGATTATTCATGTATCAGGCACACCACAAGGTAAATGCACAGTTAATATATCTGGACATGAGTAGGGCCTCTATTATTGTGTCTCAGCATTGAGGACCAAATGGTTGCTAGTGTCCAAGCAGAAAAGCAAGTATTATGAACCTCCTGGTGGAAGAATGCATCATTTCCTAT